AAGTATGTCTTATGTTGAAAAGCTTTCCATAACAAAACTGTAGTTTTCCTAAATACTGAGGTTTCTCTCAATAGTAATTTATTATATTAAAATATTATTGTCTTAATATTGCTAAACTCTTATACTTTTAAAATGGTATGCCATTATGTTTGATGGAATGTAATCAAATGCCTTAATATATCATAAAATTGATCAACTTTAGCATAATTACCCGCAGCGGCCACTTTATTGGGTACACCTTACTAGTACCGGGTTAGACCCTTTTTGACTTCAGAACTGCCCTAATTCTTCCTGGTATAGATTCAACAAGGTACTGGAAATATTCCTCAGAGATTTTGGTCCATATTGACATGATAGCATCACGCAGTTGCTTGCAGATTTGTAAGCTGCACATCCATGATGAGAATCTCCCATTCCACCACATCTCAAAGATGCTCTGTCTATTGGATTGAGATCTGGTGACTGTGGAGGCATTTCAGTACAGTGAACTTATTGTCATGTTCACTAAACTAGTCTGAGATGATTCACACTTTATGATCCCGCTGGAAGTAGCAATCAAAAGATTGGTACACTGTGGACTTAAAGGGATGGGCATGGTCAGCAACAATACTCATATAGGCTGTGGCGTTTACACGATGCTCAGTTGGTGCTAATGGGCCCAAAGTGTGCCAAGAAAACATCCCTCACACAGTTAGATCGCCAGTTTGAACCATTGATATTGATATTCATTGATACTATTGAATGTCGCAGCAGAAATCGAGACTCATCAGACCAGGCAACGTTTTTCCAATCTTCTATTGTCCAATTTTTAGTGAGTCTGTGTAAATTGTAGTCTCAGTGTCTGTTCTTAGCTGACAGGTGTGGCACCCGGTGTGGTCTTCTGCTGCTGTAGCCCATCCGCCTCAAGTTTCGATGTGTTGTGCATTCAGAGCTGCTCTTCTGCATATCTTCGTTGTAACGAGTGGTTATTTGAGTTACTTTTGTCTTTCTATCAGCTCAAACTAGTCTGGCCATTCTCCTCTGACATCTGGCATCAGCAAGGAATTTGCGCCCACAGAACTGCCGCTTACTGGATATTTTCTCTTTTTCTGTAAACCCTTGAGATGGTTGTGCGTGAAAATCTCAGTAGATCAGCAGTTTCTGAAATACTCAGACCAGCCCTTCTGGCACCAGCAACCATGCCACGTTCCTAAATCACCTTTTTTCTCCATTCTGATGCTCAGTTTGATCTGCAGCAGATCGTCTTGACCATGTCTCAAGACGAGTTGCTGCCATGTAATTGGCTGATTATAAATTTAGATTAACGAGCAGTTGGACAGGTGTACCTAATAAAGTGGCCCGTAAGTGTATATCAAGTCATGATGATATAAAAAAAAATGGTAATTGCAAACTGTTTATACAGCAAAAAATAAAAAATAAAAAAATCTAAGAAAAATAATAATAATATGTTGCCTGTGAACATTATATCAGTGTATCTTGCATATCATTTTGTATTGCCAAGACTTTTTTTTCACAGGTCTTCAGTTTGTGAACAGACCGGCGGCGCAGATGCATAGATAAACCAAAACATACTAATGAGATCAGTGTTTTATAGGTCACTTAGCTGCAAGCTTAATTAAACTCATCCTGCTCTTAGAGCCATGTGCACTGCCAATGTCAGCTTCATTAGCAGGAGATGATATGAAGAGCCGATCCAGCTTTTACAGTACCAGTACAGACGCTGCACATGAAAGGAGAGTACAGTAAATGATAAGAGTGATCCGTCTCTGCTGCGTCTGCCTCCAGCTGAGCTTCAATGTGCTTTACAGACACTGGACACGGTAATGAACCTTTGCATAGCCGTCTGCTGAGGGAAAAAATGAAGCTTATGGTTTTCACGGTTTTCGTACTTAGAAACATAAAACTTTATTTGTATTATGAATGGCTTATATAGAGCAACTGATCAAAGTGTGCTCCCTTTATGATCAGCAGAACTGCTCACTGATTAAGGTACTATGTTAATAGAAAAAAAGAAAAATATGCTGGTAATGATAAAGGAGTCTCTTAAATTGCGCCAATACTTTTTGTTGGTTATTAATGATATCCACACTGATTCTGACTAAAAACACCAAAGATCTCAAGAAGTGGCAAACACAAATAGAAACCTTTGATGCTCATACAGATTGCTTAAACAGATATGGAAAATGATCCGTGCCAAAAGAATTTGCGTGTAATTTGATTGTCAACACACACACGCAATTTGACTGTGTCAACAAGCACAGCAGCCAATGAGATTTTGTACTAGAGACTATATATTTGCATATGTTGTGTAATATTTTGTTGTGATATCATGTGTCGTGTTTGTGAAGAGTATTGCACTGGTTTCCTGAGATGTACAGTGCATCTGAAAAGTATGCCACATTTGTTTATGATACAGCCTTTTTCCAAAATTAATTAAATTAATTTATTTGCTCAAAAATTCCAATAGTATCTGGATGCAGCCTTTTTGATGCAAGCTAAGACTGCATCACTCAGCGATGCAATGTCAGACACAATGCACTCAAATGGAGCTAGTGACGTCACTGTGACGGGTAGGGTTAGGGTTGGGGTTAGGTGAGCCCATTAAAAAGCATTGAATGCAGCGCAGATTGCACTGCACCAGGTCTGCGGCCAGACCCCTCTCAAAAATTCTGCACACAAAACCCCATAATGACATTGTGAAAAAAAGAGTTTTTTAAATTGTTGCAAATTTATTAAAACTAAAAATCAGCAATTACAGCCTCTAGTCTTTTTGAATATGATGCCACAAGCTTAGCACACCTGTCTTTAGGGATTTTTGCTCATTTCTCTTTGCAGTACCACTTAAGCTCTATCAGGTGGGATTGGAAGGGTCTGTGTACAGCCATTTTCAGATCTCTCCAGAGATGTCCAATAGGATTTAGGTCTGGGCTCTGGCTGGGCCACTCAAGGACATTCACCGAGTTGTTGTGAAGCGACTCCATTTATATTTTGGCGGTGTGCTTTGGGTCATTGTTTTGCTGGAAGATAAACCATCGTCCAAGTCTGAGGTCAAGAGCCCTCTGAAGCAGGTTTTCATTCAGGATGTTTCTGTACACAGCATGATGCGGCCACCCCCATGCTTCACTGTTGGGATGGTATTAGCCTGGTGATGAGAGCTGCCTGGTTTTCTCCAAACGTAACGCCTAGCATTCACTCCATAGAGTTCAATTTTAGTCCCATCAGACCAGAGAATTTTGTTTCTTATGGTCTGAGAGTCCTTCAGATGCCTTTTGGGAAATTCGAGGCTGGGAATGGCTTCCGTCTGGCCACTCTACCATACAGGCCTGATTGGTGAATTGCTGCGCAGATGGTTGTCCTTCTGTTAGGTTCTCCTCTCTCCACAGAAGAACGCTGGAGCTCAGACAGAGTGACCATCGGATTATTGATCACCTGCCTGACTAAGGCCCTTCTCCCCTGATCACATAGCTTAGATGGCTGGCCAGCTCTAGGAACTGAGTCCTGGTGGTTCCAAACATCTTTCACTTTCGAATGATGGAGGCCACTGTGATCATTGGAACTTTCAGAGCAGCAGAAATGTTTTTGAATTTACCACAGTTGAACTCTAATTAAGCTGCTGAAACATCTCAAGAATGATCAGTGGAAACCGAATGTTCTTGAGCTTAATTTAGAGCTTCACGGCAAAGGCTGTGAATACTTGTGTGATTTTTAAGGTTTTTTATTTTTTATAAATTTGAAACCATTTTTTTTTTAAATCACAATATCATTATGGGGTATTGTGTGTAAAATTGAGGAAATAAATTAATTTAATCCATTTTGGAATAATGCTGTAACAAAGAAATGTAAAAAAAAATGAAGTGCTATGAATACTTTCTGGATGCACTGTATGTATGTGTATATATACTGTATATATATATATATATATATATATATATATATATATATATATATATATATATATATATATATATATATATATATATATATTCAGGAAACTCAGAGTCGTGGTCAATGCAGGCAAATGGTCAGTACAGGCAGGCAGCAGGCAACGTAAACAAACAAACAAGGCGAGGAATGAGGAACAGGTGTGTGTGAGTGGTACATGACTGGAACTTAGTCCATATGCTGGCTGTTTTGTAGTCTTTTAGCGATTTGTGTGTTTACCAGTAATCTGCCAGGATTAGATCGCTGGTAATTGTGACAATTGTCATTAGACATGTACAAGTACAAGGCAACGAAATGCAGTTTGAGTCTAACCAGGAGTGCAATAGCAGAAAGTGCAGGATATAGTTAAGTTATAAGTGAATATAGAAAACTATAGGTAATATTTACAGATGGATGTGCTGTGAACAAACTGTGGAAAGGCTGGTGACTTTATTTATTTATTTAAGCACAACTTGTTATCACCTGTACTTTTCATTACACTAGTTTGAACTAGATTAATGACTTCAGAATACTAAAGGTTTTCATATTCAATTATTAGTGTGTAATAAAGCTGTTAATTATCTGCTTGTCGTTGATATTTCCTATTAAGTTGATTCTAATGAAAAAAAAAATGAAAAAAACTCAAGTGGTGTTCAGAAAGGTGGTGGTCTCTCTTGCTGACACATACAAGCCAAGGGCACACACACGTTCGCGATCCTCCATTTCACAGCATTGACGATACGACCTCGCCACATCTCAGCAGTGAAAGCTGCCATGCGTGACTACAAAAGAGGAGCTACCCAGCAGCCTCATCAAATTTCTCTTTACTGAGCTGACCTTGACACACACACACACACACACGCATACACACAATGCGTGTCTGTTGCCTGTCAGTGATATGACAGGAAGACTTTGTCTGCGGGGTCTGCAGCCACAGATGTGTGACTCTATCTGTGTGTTTGTCCTGTGTTCTTTTGTCTCCTGCAATTCCCCTGAAATTTGACTGGAGCGCTGATATTTATTCATTTCGTCTTGTTTGTTTGCTGTGTGTGTGTGTGTGTGTGTGTGTGTGTGTTAAGTTATTATATAGGCCGGCGGTCTACAGTGATCATAGCGGACCCGGATATGCTTAGACAGGTGATGGTGAAGGAATTCAATAAGTTCCCCAACAGAATGGTGAGTGACAGTCTAATATCATACACACACTAAAACAATCATATCAGGTTACATAAGTTGTTAAATTCCAAATTAACTTCTTAATTTGTTTAAAAAATATATTTTATTTTATTTCTTGTAAATTCTAAATAATTTCTTTTGTACTTTTTTCCCCTAAAAATACTTAAAACACAACAATTTTACTTCAGGAGCAATGCTGAGAAATAATTAGATATTTTTTATTGCCACAAAATATTCTAAAATATTAAATTAAATTAAATTAAATTAAATTAAATTAAATTAAATTAAATTAAATTAAATTAAATTAAATTATTATTATTATTATTATTATTATTATTATTTGTAAATGCTAAATAATTGTTGGTATTTCTTTCTAAAAAAGCTTAAAACACAACAATTCTTCAGGAGCAATTCTGCATTAGATATTATTTTTATTGCCACAAAATATTCCAAATTATTAAATTAAATAAGAAAATAAATAGGTTTAAATTAAATTAATTCCTTATTTTTTTCCTGTAAATGCTAAACAATTATGTATTATTTAAAAAAAAAATGCTTAACACAACATTCCAAAAAATTTAATTTAATTTAATTTAATTTAATTTAATTTAATTTAATTTAATTTAATTTAAAATCAAATACTAAAATTAAATACTAAAATAAAAAATTAAATGAAATACTAAAATTAAATTAAAATATTAGATGCAAAATCTTTCTCAGACAATTTAAAATCTGACTTAAAGTATTTTGAGCAAGTTGACATAATAACTAATTAAATCCAAGCTAAATTTAAATATTTTAACTGTAATACAAATAAAAAAGCACAAAACAAACCTACTAAAACCACAAATAAAATAAAAAACTAATTATATAAAATAAATGCTAATGAATACTATATATATATACATACATACACATATTCATACAAACACACACACACACACACGAAAATAAGCCTAAAAGCACATTTTTACTGCACTGAAAAGCATTGACTTATTTCCTGATAGAGTTTCATATGATTTACATGTTTTGTGTATATTTATTCTCTTGAATTGCATTATCAAGATAATCTCTGATTTGACAACTATTAATGTTGAAAATTTAGATTATATTATATATGGCTTCTATAAGCTTATTCACACATATCACCTTGATATTATATAAATAGCCTGAAAAATAATCACAAAGTGCACATTTTACAACACTGGTTTGCCACCATATTTCAGATCCTCATCACATGCTTATGTCTCATCTAGATGTCACATTTTCCCCCTTGTAATTATGACTTCCCCTTATTCATGTGCCCGAAACTCGTAATTACAATACTTTTGGTTCAGCTTGAAGGCCACATTAGTATAGCAATGACACTATCAATTTCCGAGTGCTGTCGTAACATAACTCACCAATTGTGTGTCAACGACATCATCATTTATTACACTGATACATGTGTAGCTTCCCCAAGAAATCATCAAATCAAAAGTATGACAGGGTCAACTTGATGTATTACCAGCCATTTCACCTGCAGTCTATGGGATTTACTGTATGCTTGAATCGATACTAAATTCCCACCATGCTTAGGTAAGATCCTGCCACCAAAAGGTTTACAGATTTAAACTCGTTGAGGTTAGAAAGGCCACAAACTAATGATCACATGACTTATGTATAAAAGCAGAGTCAAGGGTCGTGAGATAGCCTTGCTGCTGGAGCTGAGCCTGCTGGGTAAACGATTATGGCAAGGCCAGATCAATACTGGATCCTATGCGCACTACAGGGGCTTATCAACTGTCTCTTGACCTGTTTGTGTGCTTGTATAAATGCACAATGTAGAGCACATCTACCCAGTGGGAGAAAACTCAAAGTAAATTGCCATGGCACCAGAAAACAAACAAGTAGTATGTTTTGGCGGCCGTTAGCACATATATCTACCTCAGAGAACACACACATATGATCAAAGTCGGCCCAACACAAAGATCTGCCACCTGGCCTTGGTTCCCTGCACAAACTATTTACTCTAACAACCTATTCCTGGCCAACCCAACAGTGGGTGTACGAACAACAGTAGTTTTAATGAATCCGAAAGTTTTATTTATCTAGTGTTGCCAAGTTGAATGCAATGTTGAGCCTTTCATAAACACTTTCCGACAGTTTGGACTTTGAGAAAAGCCTTCACAACCTTGTTGTGGTTCACACTTTATTTTGATATTCCGTTTGTTGAATTAAAGTTACATTGCATCTGCATGCAAGCTAATTCTCGTTTGAATATATGTAGACTGTTAGGTTGGAGTTAGGGTTAGTGTAAGTTGACATGTACTTGCAGAGTTTCTTATAGTCAGTTAAATGTCTGTTGAAGGAAGTGGCCGGTTAGCTCAGCTGGTTAGATTGTGGTGCTAATAAATGTCTGTTGTAGGATCAGTATCAACAGATATTAAGCAGACAGTCTACTAATACTCAAATGGACCATCAAATTAAAGTGCAACCCTTAAATGTTATTTGGGAAATATGTAAACCTTTAGTATTGTATATTAAGGCTACAATAGTCATCATTTAAAGTGGATCAAAACCTTGCATCAAAGGTGTCCTGAAACTATCGAACAACACCCATTTTTGATAGTTTTAAAGACATTTATTGATCCACTTCAATTGTTGACTACTGTATATCTTGCATACAATGTACATATCATAGTCCACAGTTCCTAAACAGTGTCCAATTCAAGTTATCTTCCGTGCCACTGCATACAGCTAATTGTGCATGTACACTGTAAAAAGTTATCCATTACTTTACTTTAAAAATGTGAGCAAACCCGTTGCTTTAAAAGCAACAAGTTGACTTAAGAAAGTGAGGACTTATTGTAACTTGGAACTGTTAAGTTGAGTTGAATTATGCACAGTTCATTAAAGCACCTATGATGAAAATTTATTTTTGTAAGCAGACGGAACTCTGTGTAGGTTTATTGTGTTCACAGTCATACTGGAGCGATAGAAACACAATTTACTGACATTAAAATAAGATCCAAATCCCTGCAATTCTAAGGCCCACCACAATGGGATATAGAAATGCAGTTTCCCCGCCCACTAATTTGATTGACAGCCACGTATCATGTTCACAAGACAGGAGGTGCTCAAAGCAACTGGGATTAAAAGGTCTGTTCAGCTCTCTGTGATTATCTGGAGCTCAAGAATGAGCTTAAAACATTTTTAAAACAGTGCATGTTTGTAATAAAGAAAGTAAAATCACTACGTAATTCATCACTACAGCCGCATGTCAGTACAATTATAAAAGAAGACGCTTCAATGGCAGTTCATGGACTTAAATCAGGTTTATTTTGTACATTAACAAAACAGATATCCATGCAGCAGTGTATATGACCCTGTATCCTGTCACATTTGTTGTGCAAAAACTGCGCAAAGCCAAACATGTGTGCGCTTGTGCATGTGTACTATAAACTTTATAAAAGACAGGCTTGAATTTACACCACAACAAAGTTACCAAATAACAGTTGTGAAAGTTCTTTCTGTGATAAGGAAGATCTGCTTCATTCTTGTCTGTCTCTGTGCTGTTTATATACAGTTGAAGTCAGAATTATTAGCCCCCTACAAATTTTTTTCTTCTTTTTTAAATATTTTCCAAATGATGTTTAACAGGGCAAGGAAATTTTCACAGTACGTCTGATAATATTTTTTCTTCTGGAGAAAGTTGTATTTGTTTTAGTTCAGGTTGAATAAAAGCAGTTTTTAATTTTTTTAACACAATTTTAGGGACAAAATTATTAGCCCCTTTAAGCTATATTTTTTCTCGATAATCTACAGAACAAACCACTGTTATACAATAACTTGCCTAATTACCCTAACCTGCCTAGGTAACCTAATTAACCCAGTTAAGCCTTTAAATGTCGCTTTAAGCTGTATAAAAGTGTCTTGAAAAATATCTATTAAAATATTAATAACAGTCATCATAGCAAAGATAAAATAAATCAGTTATTAGAGATGAGTTATTAAAAAATTATGTTTAGAAATGTGTTGAAAAAATTTGCTCTCCATTGAACAGAAATTAGGGAAAAAATAAACAAGCGGTCTAAAAATTCAGGGGGGCTAATAATTCTGACTTCAACTGTACGTGAAGGCTACACTCATCAGAGCAATACAGAGAATCTCTATGGCTCTGACATGCATGTGGGAATGGTGGGTATAGGGAGAACCAGCTCATTTGCATTAAAGGCACTGGAAACAAAAAGAGCTACAGTGTCCTAGCAGCTCAAATTTCCCAGATTTAAAGTGGTATAATAAATAATCTGATGGGTGTTTTGAGCTGAAACTTTACAGACACATTCTGGAAACACAAAAAACTTATCATAAATATTGAAAAATGGGTAAAATAGGTGCCCTTTAATATCTTAGGCCATAGGTTTACTCACTTTTTTTTAGGTTGTCAACTAGCAGTTTACCATGTAGCTAACTATAAGCATGTGCAGAGTTTAAATCACTTGCTAATGCCTGCTATATATATATATTTTTTTTTTACCAAGTTTAAAATATAAATTTAGTTTTAGAAATGAATAAAATAAAAACATGTTTGTTTGTTTGTTTGTTTATGTCACGGTTGCAGGTTTGTGCGCTTCTCCGGAGTGTATGTTTGATCACGTGGGTTTGTTTTGTTTGTCCATGTGGATTTGTTAGGATCACGTGTTATGACGACACCCAGTTGGTCTGATTAGTTCGCCAGCTGAGGCTCATCATGGTGCCTATATCTGTGCAACGCTTTTGTGTGTCTGTGTCAGTTCGTTACCATCACTTATGTTTGTGCTGTCTGTGCTCAGGCCCTGAGGAGTTTGTCTGGATCTGGTTTCTCCGTTCTGTTCCTGTCCTGTGTTCTACGTTCATCTAGCCTGGCACTAATTGTTTTATTGTCAGATTTTATTAAACATTGACACTTGCATTTGGATCCTCTCTGACTCTCATTCGAAAACGTTACAGAACGAACTGACCTGTTCATGGATCCAGCG